GAAAAGGATTTTTGAAGTTCGGAATGTGTTATTCGGAATCAGCGTCCAAAGACGAACCAGAATATGTATTAAGATCGAAAAAATAAAATTCACTTGAATTTTGATCTAGCTGAACCTTACCAAAAGAACAAATTTTCTCCAAAAAGGCTGAGCCAGGAGAGCTGGAACTTTTCAGCTATGTTCAGCGAAGAGTAAGGAACAAAATGCTCATTTAAAAATTTTTAAAGTACTGTGAGTGGTTAATTGGATTGTTCCAAGATAGTGAAAATAGTGAAAGCGAGTCAAATCAGCATATAGTTTTCGGCATGATCCTAAACTTAAAACGAACGTTTGTCTCGACTTTCCTATAATCGGCAGTATATGAACATGTACTTTTCATTTGTTGAGCGTTTGCTGGTAAGCCGGCTGAGAGCAATCTTTGGTATGGTTTAAATAAATTCAGAAGAATTTTATTATGATTTTCATAGCAGTATTATACTTTATAGTTAAAACTTTATTTCCAACTGCTCATTCAAATAATTATGTCATACGACGATTGTCTTTATAGGCCCAATAGGGCAAAAATAAAAGCATAACACACACACAATTATGTCATACATATTATATTATCATCGTTTGTCTTATTTCTTTTTTCAATTTTGTTCTGGTTTTTACATTTAATCAAGCAAACCTGAACAAAAGTGACTTACGTCTTTATTCTTGAGAATATCGTTCCATCATAGCAGTTAGTATTGTTTATCGGAAAATTTATCAATTATGAAACGAATGTCGATTGTTAGAATTTTTCATCAAGTGTCTTTTTTCCTCAGAGGATCGTTTCACATTAGAGTCTCTTTAGAAGACAGTCGATTAGTGTGTATTTTGTTCACATTTTCTATCAATTCATCGATTCAGTTCAAGACCATTGTTTGCTCTATTTTTAAGCGGCGTAAAGAATTTTCCCTAAACTACGATTGTTTTGATTTATTTGAAACTATTGCTTGCCATTTTATTTTTTTCTGTTTATCTTATTTCAGACATTTTTTCTCAACAACATCTATTAATACGGCTTCAACAACAGTTAGCCTTACCTATAATATTCAACTGCTACCAGAAATTTTAGCAAAAATCTTTTCACCACTATCAGTATTTGACGACCTATTACTGTTAAAAAATGTTTGTCGTCAGTTTCATCATCTCACTGGAATCTGTGGTTTTTCTCAAAATGTTTTACATCATTTACAGAAGATCTTTGTGTTTGAATTAACTTTTGGAAGTGATGGCAATCATTATCGTTGTAAGTCACAAGGGAACCTTTCGAGGTGATTAAACGCTTTTTGCTCGGAACCTAGTGGGTACCTAGTGGGTATAGGTTATCGACCATGCTGATTACGAATATGACCATAGGAATTGCCCTTTGCCTTTCGAAGACCGGGTTTTCTAGAAAATCAGTTTTTCAGAAGCTCTAAAATATAACCCGAACCTTTCTTAATGAGGCAGGATTGTAGCCCGCAGATTTCGGATTAAAATGAGACATCTCCAACTTTACACCACGTTTCTTTGCACAGTTGTAGAATTTACAAAAAAAAGCCCTAAATGTTCATTGTCAGTTCAAAGCTACAGAAATAAGAAGAAATTAATTTAGGGCTTTTCTTGTAAATTCTATAACTTTCCAAAGAAAGGTCATATAAAGCTGGGAGACGTCTCATTTTAATCAAAACTGTGCGGGCTACAATCATGCCTCATTAAAAAAGGTTCGAATTACATTTTAGAGCTTCTGAAAAATTAGTTTTCAAGAAAACCAGGTCTACGAACGGCTAAGGGCTACCCCCAAGGTCATATTCGTAATCAGTATGGTCGATAACCTATACCCACTAGGTTCTGAGCAAAAAGCGTTTAATCACTTCGAAAGGTTCCCTCGTCAGTCGAAAGTAGCATTCAAGAAGAAACAACAAAAGTCTGTTTTAAATAGCATCCACGTATTGAGACAAAGGGCCCAAGAATTGGAAAACGTTTTACATTTAATAATTCAATCAATCATTTTTACTCTTGTTGGACTTTTCTTACATAAAAAAACAGCATTTACTCGATGTTCAGTGACTATTTATTTTGACTATCAATGAAAAAACCGCAAATATTTTATAGATATTTTACAATTGTTATTTTTGTATAGCTCGATACTTTCCAGTAATTAAACCATTTATCAGTTGGGAATGTTTCCTTGTAAACCTACTTGATACATTCGAATTTCGCGAGTAAAAAATTTTATTTTTTAAAATACAAAATTAGACGAATTCTTCTCATCTTCATAAAATAAAAAAAGAATGAAAATCACTTTTCCAATGAGCTGCGTTTCTCACAGCTACAAAACAAACCAACACACACTCAAATTCTTTAATAGTTTCTTTTTTTGACATCAGATTGAAAAGAGTCGCTTGTGATTGGCACGTTCAAAAGAAAACAAAAGACAGAAGTGTTCTTCTGACACTGCCTGCTTTGTATTTAACCGTAGTGGCGTTTTTATGAAATGTTTGCTGGCACATATAAGTTTATCAAGGAGAGGTTTTGGCTGTGTTGGATCATGCTGGGAAGGACTGAAGTGATAGCAATCATATTTGTCTGTCTAATACGTTTTCTTTTCTTAATATCCTTGGTTGCCACCACCACCACCAAAGTCTCCTTGTGCTCCTCCTCCTTCACGAAATTCTTCTTCTCGTCCTCCCATACCGTCGCCACCAAAACCTCCTTGTCGACCTCCGTCCACACCTCTATCGCCAAAGCCTCCCTGCTGTTGTTGTCCTCTGCCTTGTTCACGAAAGTCTCCTTCTCGCCCACCTCTAAAGCCTCGCTCCCCCCCTCCCATATCTCCACCAAATTTTCCTTCTCGTTCTCCTATACCTCCTCCGCCAAACCCACCCTGTTGTTGGTTTCCTATTCCATCAAAGTCTCCCTGTTGACCTCCACCACAGCCTCCCTGTGAACCGCCTCCCATACCTCCACCACCAAAGCCAGTCCGTTGTCCTCCTCCTCCACCAAACTCTCCCTGTCCACCTCCAAAGCCACCCTGTTGTTCTCCTCTTCCACCACCAAACTCTCCCTGTCCACCTCCAAAGCCACCCTGTTGTTCTCCTCTTCCACCACCAAACTCTCCTTGTCCACCTCCAAAGCCACCCTGTTGTCCTCCTTCCAGAAAGTGAAATAAATTTAATTCTAGCGCATTTTTTAAAAGTTAAAACCTTTTTACCGTGATGATGATGATGATGATGTTGTTCACCCGACATTTTCTTTATTTTATGTATTTTCTACGTTGTTTACGTGTGTATGCAAAATATAAAAAGTGAATATGATGAATAGAAAAATCAAATCAAGTATATTAAATAAATGATTTTCTCTTCTTTCCTCAGTTCGTGTTGTCAAGTAGAATTACTACGTTTAATGTGACTAAAGAAAAAGAACGTATCTAAGAAAAACATATCATGCGGTGCCAATTACATGAGAAATAAAAAGCAATAGAAAATTCTCTGTATGAATGTGAACGATAAATTTAAAAAACATCATTATGAAAGTACTTTTACTTTATTAAAAGGTTACGATATTCATTCTCGATATAGAAAAAAAGAAAGAGAAAAGAAAACGAGGTACTGAGTTCGTTTGCTTTTGCGCATACCGAAAAACAAGCTGAGGACTACTTTCCTCTGACATCTTCACCTCCCTTGCACATGACCACAGTGACTACTCTAATAACTGTGCGGGTGCCAGCTTTTTCGTAGTTCAACATTTCGTAATCTCGACGGGAATTCTAAAGTAAAGTGCATAGGTATACCAAACTCCCGTTTGCTATACCTCAAGCAAAAAAATGCCTTTGAGAATATCTAGCAATACAAATTTGTTTCCGGACAATATCGGCTTGTGGTAGCTAGCTGTCCGTACTACTTTTACTGAGTTAGCTAGCTAGATCAGGTATGATAGCTAGCGACTAGATATCGTACCCGATATATCGAGTTGACGGCATGAAGGATGCTGTATATACATTTCATCCCAGGATGTCTTTATACGTACATCCTGCTTTCTGTAATATATGACAGAAAGGAGTATTTCTCAGTATATCAATCTATTATTGCTCAATATATTGACTTGATATGAATAAAAACTTTGTAAATTTGTGAAGCATATGTGTTACATATATAGATACAGTGGCTGCAAAATAAAAATATGACTAATCCGACCGTCGGTATATCGAGTAATATATCAGGCTAGATAGCTATATGGTCAATGATATTGAGTTAGCTAGGTATATCTGGTAATGTATCGTGTTAGCTAGCTATATCGCACGATAGTCGATATTTTATTTGAAATGAAAAACACCGTCATAATCAAGGGTGCTGATTTCTAATATGAAACCATTTGTATCCAATATTTAAAGCTGATGATCTCCAAAATTGAAAACTGAAAAGCACAGTTTATAATTGACAAATGACTGTAAAAATTATAATACATCGTAAAGTTACACGTTTAGAAAACGTTTTAATTCTGTTCTTTCATCTATAAACTGACATAGTCAAAAAACTACTTTTTTATTTTGGCTTTTAGAGATCGCCAGTTTTAAATGTCAGACACAAATGTTTTCACATTCGGAATTAATATCCTTGATTACGAAACTATTTTTCATTTTAAAAATGAATAGACACTAGGAGACCGTCCTTTGTTTGACTTTATCCCAAACGGCCAGAGTTCTTTGCTAATATCAGAATGCAAAGCCAGGCTGGAACGGACTTTTAGACAATATTTCCATCACCATGCTTTCGTCTGTTACAGAAATATCTGTTTATACACAAGTGTCATATGTGAATAAAACAAAAAATATCTATCTGTCCTTGAGCCTATTTGAAACTCAAACTATTTCTTCAAACACTGATAATTCAGCTATAATAACAAGTTAAGCGATCATCCGCAATCACAGTACTATGAATGTCATCATTGGCTTTGTCTTTGTTGGCTGTTAATGCTCATTGTTTGTTTCGAAAATAAATTACACGGACAGTTCCAGCATTTTAAAGTAATCGCGCTTCCGTAGATTTTCAGGTGCGAATTTTTTTATTAATAGAAGGGCAAAAGGTAAACATTTCTCTACAAGATAAGATGGTGCGCAGCTCTGCACATTTCTTATTTACTGAGCTATGCCATTTCTTGCACATGTCCCAAAACTAGTTAAATAAGTGGTGCAACTTGTTTTGCATAGACTAGAATGAGACGCAGTAGCTGCTACCTCGAGACAGTCGAATTAAGCTTACAAACTATTTATCAAAGACAGATTTTGAACGGTGGAACTTGATAAACCTTAAAATACATATAACCTCACCTTGCACAACCTTGTGAAATAGTTCCTCACAATCATTCATCAGATGTTATCACATTGGATAGTACCCAACGCTCAGCTGATAAAAGATCTCCAGTATATACCTGAAACGCAGTAAAAATGGATTTTGCAATTAAACTGCAGGCTTTTGTTTACGTTTTGTGATCAGAGTCAAATTCTAAGCGGTTAATGATTTTATTTCACCTTTTAATCTGAGAAAAAGAACTATCTCAAACTTTTTTATCCACATCAATCTGCTACAAGTAGATTGCCACATTATCCTATCAAGTGTACAATGCAAAACTTCTGTTGCAATAACTTCTTTTTAAAATGTTGACCATGGCGAAATATGTGATGAATTTTGAACGTATCATTGCCGTGCTTCATCTTTAAGGAAACGTACGCATATATTTTAGTTTCATATCATCTGGCCAACTAACTGTTTTGAATTGTTGTTCTAAGTCTTCTAACCATCGGACCACATTTTCTTTTCCACCAGAATATGGATTGTTTTAATTGAAATTTTGTCCAGTCATTTATAGACGAAGATATAGCTTCTTTGTACTAATCTTGTAAATCAGGATCCAAATAGTCGTAGGATAGAGATAGCCATAAACTTTCTTTATATTTCAAATCAGTTAAAACTTGTTCGAGTGTAGATAGCCATTGTGGAGTTGTATCAGTTTTGCTATGATTGAGGATGCGAATTGTGTCAAGTTGTTCTTTTTCAATTGTTTTATATTGTCCGACGTTTTCCATGTTAAAAGAATAAGTGGTAGTATG